ACTGTCTTGCTACTGCAGCAGGGAGGTGAAACAGAACTACTAACCAGTAGTTAATGGCCGTATTTTTGTGGCGTATACGTTCTTTGACATTTAGTGTAATGCTTTGCAGTAAGCTTGTAAACACTCAAGTACTTAATATTAAATTATTTTGTACAAGCAGCTAGATCTTATTCTGGGCATTGTTCTGTCAGGACTTCATAAAGATGATTTTCCAGTTCATTTAGATTTTTAAAAAGTGTGACTGGAACAGCAGACCAAATTGTGTTAATGGAATTATTTTTGCCTCTTGCTGTGCCAAGATTTCTAGATTTCTCTAGTAGCATTAGCATCTGAAGATGTGACCGCTACTTGAGTTAGGAAGTGTTAACACTGTTTATAAAGGTAACTGCATGTCCTGAAAATGGGTATGTAAAGCATTCATGTGCTCTCCGAAGTCAATAGTACACTACCGTTAAACTACCTGAATGCTTGGGTCTGCAGAACTTTGGAGGTACAGGACTCTGTGTGTCCTGCTGTAAATTGATTTCTAAACATGAATATAAGTGGCCTTCACCCTGCCATCACTGCAGTACAGCTAGCTTTTTATGATCAGCACTATCACCATTCTAGGCACATCCACTGTCATCTGAGAGTCCTTCCCATTTCATCTCAGTTATTTTATAATATCACCTATCTCAGTCATTGTTTCTTCTAGTGGCTTCGGACTTTTGAAGAGGAAGTAGGTGCCTTACATGAATACAAGGGTGGAAAAAACCTTTTATAGCTGAACTGTCTCAAGAGCTGGATATTGGCATTCTAGATTTTCAGGTTACTGCTCAGGGTACTTGGCACATGGCTTAGATTCCCAGTGCTTCCAGTTCGGCTTGTGGATTGTTAATCCATAAATGTCATTCTTCAGCAGCGTGCTGAATGCCTCGGAAAACACCGACAAGAGCACAGTTTCTCCAGTTGCATTCACTGCAGGCTAAAGTAATTTGGATCCCTACAGTGTTCTCACTACACCACCTCTTACTCAGACTCTTCTGTAGACATAAAGGAAGTTTTTCAATGTTTTAAAATGATTATGGCTTTCCAAACCTCTTGAAGTCTGAGTTTGCTTCTCAGTATTATCACCCAGAATATTCACGCCCTGGAAAATAGTTCTGTGTTTCCAAAAAGAGCATGTCAAGAAGACATATAAAATCCACAACTTTAATTAGTTTGACTACATTTGAAAATACCTGTGAAAATTCAGACCCTGAGCCTTTTCCCATTGCTCTGGGGAAGAAGGAAGTGCAAATAAATGCTGCTAGATAAGTCTATGAACAAGTATTGTATAAACATACTATATGGCTCAAGGTTAAAAATGATGCCATTAAGTTATTTTTCCTTTAAGCATTAGTAGAATGAGTTCTGCCAATAACTGCTTGGAGTCCTATTGGGTATGCTTCTAATTATCAATATCCTTGTTCTTGCAAATACTAAGCCACTGGTAATTTTGCAAGAATCTAGAGCCCCTAGGAGATAGAGGTGAGCTCCTTGATGTAGCTTTAAGCAAAATTGAAAGTTATGTATGTAGTAGGTTGTGATTATGATGATCATTCAAGTAAAGGATGGTCCAGAATGAGAGGTGTTTATCGTAAGGGTGTTCTAGGAGTCCTAGGCAAAAGCACTTACTTCGCCCTAAACTGTTTTGTAGTTTCTATACAAGAAAGAGACTAACACTGACAAACTAATTGGAGAGTAAAAGAGAAGAAAATATGGCATGTAACTGTGGAGTTGGCTGTAGCAGCCTGAAAATCGCCGAGTTTTGTTTTTCTTGATGCGATGAGGCTATATAGGAGGACAGAAATATGAACTACAACTTCTCTTGTCTTTCCCTTCAGTTATGAAAAGGAAAATATGGCATGTAACTGTGGAGTTGGCTGTAGCAGCCTGAAAATCGCCGAGTTTTGTTTTTCTTGATGCGATGAGGCTATATAGGAAGACAGAAATATCATGAGCTACAACTTCTCTTGTCCTTCCCTTCCGTTATGAAAGCCCTGCTGCTTATTTTCATCTTTTGTCTGACTCTTGGAGAAAGTATAATTAATTACCAGGCTAGCTGTCTGCCCCAGGGAAGGAAATTTTATTCATTTTGAGGCCGCAACAATATCTACTCTTGTTCTGCTCTTCTCAAAGGGAAGGCATTTTCCCATGTTTTGGTTTTAAACTGAAGAATGACCACATAAAATTTCATTCAAAGCGGGAACTGGCTCTTCCATATTAGTGGATAAAGGTTATGGGTCACAGCCAGTTAATGGGTAGTACAGAAGAGCTTATTTGTGCAGTGATTCAGGAGAGCAGTCTGTTCAATGTCAGCAGGGCTGCTCTGTCACGTCCTAGACATGATGAAGTCTTAATGGCTTCAATGGAATCGCTTACAGTGAGTCAGTCCATGCAAGAACTGTGATAATACTTTATCACTAGGAATTGTGCATTGTAGATGCATCTTTAGTAAATGTATTATACATAAATCGCTAAGAGGTTTTTCATTAACACTGTTCAGTTATTTTTGTTATCTGAAGTGTACTTCTAGGAGACTTTGGCTTGAAGTGCTCAGAGACGATGAAAGATGTTTGCTTCTTGCACTGGAGTGCAGTAGGGGTACGTGCACCAACTGTTGGAGGGTAAAGACCTGACATGCAAATGGTTCTGGTTTGGTTCATAATCTCTGAACGCAGAAAGGACACGTTTGGGGCCCAAGACAACGCATGCTGAAAGGACACATAGGTTGAAATCCATATTCTTTGTGTAGGTACGAAGATTTGCCTACAGGCAGGTTTTTACAGGAGAATGGACAATTCAACTTGTATTTATCCCTTTTTCTCTTACTTCTCATCATCCACTCCCTTGATTAAGGTATGTCAACCAAGCCTATCAGAATCACTTGCAATTAATTTAGGAGTTTTGGAACAGGTTAATTTTCACCTTTAAAGGGACTCTATCAGCTAGAATTGTAATGCACTTGAGATTAGCTAAATCTACAGTGCTGTAAATTGTGAAACTACTGAAAGCTGAGTTGTATGTCCTGGCCAAAATTCTATTATTTCATAGTGTTCCCTGAGGACTTTTTATACTTGAGGCTGTATTTACATGGCCATCTTGAAGCTAGGAGGTTTTCACGTGGTGAAGGGATGTAAAGACTGGTCATCTGTAAATCTATGTCAGGCAGGTGTATCTTCCATACAGAACAAGGGGAAAAAGATGCAGCTAAACATTAATTCCTATTTTCTATTAGAATTATCTTCAACTTCTAGTAGATGAAAAACAAAGTTCCTACAGATGGCTGATGGCGAGGAATCATATAGGTATGTTATGCATGCACTAAATTATGCCTTTTAAAAATAATCTGCTTAATTTAATCTTGCATCATACGCTGTTTTAGTTTAATTCCATTTTCTAGGGAAAGCAGATGAGTCAGTTTTGTCAGTTCTTAATTAAACTTTTAGTAGTGTTGTATCTGAACAGTGAGACATTGGAGGAGACTGTTAACTGTAACCAGTGTTTCCTTTTTGTTTAAATACTAATAAAGAGTTTTGCGGAAATCCGCAGATCCTTTCGATTTCATAAAATCTATCGCTTTTTTTTTTTTTCCCCTGTTGTCCTGGATTCACCTGCTGGGTATTACGTGCTAAGTACTATTTTGTAGACGGCTGTTGTGTTTCTAGGGACGGCTCCCTCCGCGTGCAAATACGCGCGCTCCGCCTTCCGCGTCGGTTTTGAATTGAGCGCGGCTGAGCGGCGCGATTCCCGCTGCTGCCCCGGGACGATCGCTTCACGTACCCGGGCAGGTAGGCGGGGGGAAGCAAGGGGGCAGGGGCTGGGTTTTCTAGGCGTAGGGGTGAAAGAAGTCACCGGTCTCTGCCGCAGCCCTGCACGGGGAGTCCCTGAAGCGCTGGGTGCAGCAACAAGGAGGATTTGATGCCTGGATCTTGACCTCTTTTTGCCTTTCGGGCGCTTCTGTCTCTTAACTTCCCCCTGAAGAAGGAAAACAAAACAGCGGCGTTTTACCAGCGCCCCTCGCCGCCCAGCCCCCCGGGGAAAGACCCCGGTCCCGACGGAGACCCGCGGCGGCCCGGG